GTTGGGGTGGACTCTGCATGAATAGAAGAACTCGTGCCGTGGGATGCAATGGTGGTCTCCGAGGGAGACGATGGCGGCGAGGTCCGAGCCGGAGAGGATACAGTCTGCATGGAAAGAGACGTGGCCAGGGGAGACTCGGATGCTGGTGAAGCTGTTTTGGTCACTTCTGCTGAGGTCAGCTCAGCCTTCGTGGGAGAAATCTTGCTGAAGGTTTGCGTAGTTTGATTTTCAAGAGACGTGAAGCCAGTCTCCACAGTGGAATGCGGCCTCATCGGGGTGGATCCGGTCACCTCAATAGTCGAAGTTCTCAGCTTAGCAGCCGTAGGAGATGTTGCCGAAGAGAGGGAAGGGCTGGTCCCCTCAGCTGCTGTTGATTCGACCCTGGATGGAGGACTGGCAGACCGGAAGGAGACGGTGGTTTCCTCGGTAAGGGCAATGGAAGAGTGGTCAGTGGAAGGGGAAAAAGTTGGCGTAGAAACAGTGGTGCCTCGGGCAGAGCTCACCTCCGGTTTTGTTGTGGAAGAGCCAGAAGGCGGGGGTTGAGTTGTTGTCTCCTGCCGTGAGGTTCCTTTCGGCTGCATGGCAGAAGAGGGGGCGAGGGAGGGACTGGTTTGTTCCTGTGCGGAGGTTAGCTCAGTCATGCCAACAGCGGCGGTCGTGGTGACAATAGAGGCCACCGACTCTGCGGAGGACATGGTTTCTGGGACTGCAGTGCTTGAGTGTGCCGAATGGAGCGAAGAGGTGGTGCTTCCTTCAGTTGGGGTGGACTCTGCATGAATAGAAGAACTCGTGCCGTGGGATGCAATGGTGGTCTCCGAGGGAGACGATGGCGGCGAGGTCCGAGCCGGAGAGGATACAGTCTGCGTGGAAAGAGACGTGGCCAGGGGAGACTCGGATGCTGGTGAAGCTGTTTTGGTCACTTCTGCTGAGGTCAGCTCAGCCTTCGTGGGAGAAATCTTGCTGAAGGTTTCCGTAGTTTGATTTTCAAGAGACGTGAAGCCAGTCTCCACAGTGGAATGCGGCCTCATCGGGGTGGATCCGGTCACCTCAATAGTCGAAGTTCTCAGCTTAGAAGCCGTAGGAGATGTTGCCGAAGAGAGGGAAGGGCTGGTCCCCTCAGCTGCTGTTGATTCAACCCTGGATGGAGGACTGGCAGACCGGAAGGAGACGGTGGTTTCCTCGGTAAAGGCAATGGAAGAGTGGTCAGTGGAAGGGGAAAAAGTTGGCGTAGAAACAGTGGTGCCTCGGGCAGAGCTCACCTCCGGTTTCGTTGTGGAAGAGCCAGAAGGCGGGGGTTGAGTTGTTGTCTCCTGCCGTGAGGTTCCTTTCGGCTGCATGGCAGAAGAGGGGGCGAGGGAGGGACTGGTTTGTTCCTGTGCGGAGGTTAGCTCAGTCATGCCAACAGCGGCGGTCGTGGTGATAATAGAGGCCACCGACTCTGCGGAGGACATGGTTTCTGGGACTGCAGTGCTTGAGTGTGCCGAATGGAGCGAAGAGGTGGTGCTTCCTTCAGTTGGGGTGGACTCTGCATGAATAGAAGAACTCGTGCCGTGGGATTCAATGGTGGTCTCCGAGGGAGACGATGGCGGCGAGGTCCGAGCCGGAGAGGATACAGTCTGCGTGGAAAGAGACGTGGCCAGGGGAGACTCGGATGCTGGTGAAGCTGTTGTGGTCATTTCTGCTGAGGTCAGCTCAGCCTTCGTGGGAGAAACCTTGCTGAAGGTTGGCGTGGTTTGATTTTCAAGGGACGTGAAGCCAGTCTCCACAGTGGAATGCGGCCTCATCGGGGTGGATCCGGTCACCTCAATAGTCGAGGTTCTCAGCTGTGTAGCCGTAGGAGAAGATGCCGAAGAGAGGGAAGGGCTGGTCCCCTCAGCTGCTGTTGATTCGACCCTGGCTGGAGAACTGGCAGACCGGAAGGAGACGGTGGTTTCCTCGGTAAGGGCAATGGAAGAGTGGTCAGTGGAAGGGGAAAAAGTTGGCGTAGAAACGGTGGTGCCTCGGGCAGAGCTCACCTCCGGTTTCGTTGTGGAAGAG